TCCCTCGGTAAAAGTGTTTTTTCCGACCAAAAAATGTTATCCGTTGGAAATATTTCATGGGGCTGAAATTTATTTCCGACAAAGGAACTACCCTCGGAAAAAGTCTATAAGGTCGTCGGAAATGTAATTTATTTGGAGGGAAAACTTGGCGCCAATTTTATTAACGACAAAAACTATTTTTGTCGGAAATAAGACGATTATTTCCGAGGGGTTTCTCATTCCGTCGGAATTGTTTGCCTATTTCCTAGGAGCTTCTCATTCCCTCGGAATTGTTTGACTATTTCTGAGCAACTTCTCATTCGGTCGGAATTGTTCGACTATTTTTTTAGAGGCTTCTCATTTCCGTCGGATTTGTCTATAAACAAAATTGAGTTTTTGTTATTACTTTGTATTTTATAATTCAAAATTAGATTTTTTGAGCTTTAAGGATAAGAGAATGTCACAAGGAGTTCCTAGAAATTTTCGGTATATATTTTTTATTTTAAATTTATTTATTATGAATTATAAAAGTTAAATCTTAAAGAAATACTATGAAATAGAATGGATTGACATGTGTTAGCCTCTTAAAGGAACTATGTCAGTGTTTCTGATAGGAGGCCTATAATATGGAAACATGTGTTATTTTCTGACTATGTATTGTTTTTATCTTAAATAATTCATAAAAAATAGTCAGGCCCTAAATAAATTCTAGGTTCCACCATTGATTCCATAGGTTTGAGTTAATGAGATCATTGGATCCAATAAACAAGAGTGTTACGTTAATGAGAATCATTGAATCCAATAAACAAGAGTGTTACGTGGCAGAATGTTTTGATTTGTTTATGAATAAAGTCGAGTTTTGTTATTACTTTGTACTTTTATAATTCAAAAATTAGATTTTTAGAGTTTTAAGGTGAAGAGGATGTCACAAGGAGTTCATAGGATTTTTTAGTGTATTTTTCTTATTTTTAAATTTATTTGTTATGAAATTAAAAGTTAATTAACTATATAAAAAAAAACATATTTGCGACAATGTTTTTCCGAGGGACACCAAATACCCTCGGTTAGCAAGAACAAAAGATCTCAATAAAAAATTATTTCCGATCGGTTAGCAAGTATTTGCGACCACATTTATTGTTGGAAATGAATTTGTATGGTCGTTTTGAAAATCTATTTCCGATATAAAAAAAAAGCAATATCGACGAAATATGGGTGTCGAAAATACATTATTTCCGACGGAATGGTCTGAAAAAAAGTATTTCCAACTGGCGTTTTAGCGACGACTTCCGACGAACCTTTGCTGTCGAAAAAGCAAATTTCCGAAGGCAAAAGGCTTTTTGCGACCACAAAATACCCTCGCTAAAGGCATTCTGTTTTGTAGTGTCTACCAAGAATACATCTAAATATTTGGAGGAGCTTTCAAAGATGCAAGCCATGAGAATTGAAATGGATATGAAACAACAAGAGCACGATAGGGCAATGGAAGTAGAATATGCAAAAGAAAGGGAGTATGTACGCCAAGGAAAGATTGAAAAAAATGATCGGGAAACCATG